GACAAAGGACAAGGATTCAAATCGCCAAGACCATCGAGTCTCGAGCTTCTCGTCGAATCGCGGCACTTTCTATCAGACCTTCGATCCCCGATCATCAACAGCGATCCGCCTCTGAAAAGAGACGAGAGCACGCTTTTCATCGGACGCAATCGAGACGCGCGTGGGTATTTCTATCCCACGATTACGTCGTCGTCGTCGTCGTCGTCGTCGTCGTCGTCGAGTGTCGGCCCGTAAAAGCTCGACGACGAGAGGAGGAGTCGGTTTGCAAGCCCCTCGAAAGAATAATGCCGCTACATACGAAGGACTTACCAGGTTTCCTCCCACCTTCTCGTGTCCTCGTTCAGCCGGTAAAAGCTTCTGCCGCGACCGCGTTTCCGAATCGTTCCGCCCTTCAACCCGTTCCTCCTCGTTGTTTCTCGTTCCAACAGACATCATCCACACACACACTCTCTCTCTTTCTCGAGTGATGTGCACTTGGCGACTTGAGGACGGATGCGTGCCTCTTCAGGCTGGTTTTAACGGGCCCTCATTGTCGGCCAAACCACCGCGACCGGCCATTAGACGAAGTTTCCACGACTCTGCCAGCCTTCGACCGCGATTATCGTCGCAATTACGTCAGGCGACGAGCACGACGTCCGCGTGGCTCACTTCTCGTCGTGTCATCGTGTCGAGAACGCGCTGCAGAGAAACGTTTCAATTCTCGTGACTTTCGCGAATCGATTTCCAATAGGTGTGTTTCCTGCATTTTCAAGGCGAGGGAACTAGATGGACGAAGTCTGAAAGGCGAGTGGCATAATTTTATAAAACATTCACGTAGATCGAATAGAGTAGATTGACGAAGAAATGTCTAACACGAAGGTCACCAATTTAATTAAAAATACCTTAATTTCAACTTTTTAATGTCGTCACAAGACGCAGAAGATTCTGTTATGCGGACTCTATGAATTTTTTGCAGCTTTAAATTCACCGGTGAACGCTGCATTGTTAGATTGGAATAGATGGAAATTTCGCGTTGAGCTTAAAATACGGACGCGCAATTAGTGCGACGTACATTTAAAACTTGAAGCGAAGTTTGAACTTCAATGTTTCAGGATATTTCACGTAATTTGATAGTTCTTCCAAAGGGGAAGAACTGGTTATAGACTAACCAGCTTCTAGGGCCCTTTGTATTCGAATATTCGAATTACATTATCCGTTTTACGCGCCGGGATGAAACGACGGTTATACGAAATTATCACACACCGCTCGAATATCAAC